AGGGTAGTTGTAGTATATCAAGGATCTCTTGGTTGGGAGGTGTAGGGGTAAGGGGTATCAAAGAACAAATATCAGTCTCTATGCTAAGTGGAGGAGAAGTAATCACATTACAAAAGAAGATCATATTTCTGCCCTAAAGGAACTACAAATACTAACTCTAATGCAAGCCTCTGTGTACTGTATTGTAATGGGGTGAACCCAGTATGCCACACAATGCACTTTACAAACTTAATTCATTTAATTTTCAGAACAGTTCTATGAAGTATGTGTTATTCCCATTTTACAGGTGATAAAATGCTGGATTAGGGAGATTAAGTAACTACACCAACATAGTATACCCAGAAAGTAGCAGACAACCATTTAGAACCAGTTCTGTAAGACTCCAAAATCCATGAATTTTTGAAAATTGCTTGATTTGTTTTGTTCGTCCCTTTGGCCAGGTCCTTTACAAAAAAATGTTCTTGAAAGCATTGAAGGGAATTCTTATAGAAAATTTTCTTAAAGGAGGTGATATTTATAAAACAAAACTAAGTTTAATATCATATAATTTTAGGACAACAAGGGGTCTTAAGAGATAATTTAGTTCTTTTTGTTTTGTTTTGTTTGTTTTTAGCTGAGCCATCCTGCCACCTATTGGCAGCTCAGCGGCAGCTCAGCTCAGGCCAGGACTTGAACTGCTGTTGCTCAGAGCTCGCACTCTTGAGCAAGCTCTTAACCAACTGAGCCACTTGGTGGGCCCTTTTTTTTTTTTTTTTTAATGGTCAGTATACTGAGGTCCTGACAGTTTCAGAGTTAATTAGTGAAGAATAAAGGACTAAAACCCCTGATATTCTGGTTTTCATGTAATTGCTGTTCTCACTATACCACACTGCCAATCATATGTTCATACACATGTATATCAAAAATATATGTGTCTTTAAACATATTTTCTAATATTTAAATAAACAATTTCTAGAGGCTATGTGAATTATGACATTCTCCCTACCTTATTATAACTAAAAGTTTGTTGGTATTTTTCATTATACAAAAAAGATAAAAGCATTATGTACATACAAAATACATTTCGGAATAAGGATTATTACCAGGAATAATCTGGGATATTTAATAATAAAAAAGGGGTTAATTCAAGGTATAATGATCCTAAATATGCCAATACCTAATAACAGAAATTTAAAAATATTTGGGAATATATACATATATATATATATGTATATATACATAGTAGTGTGTGTGTGTGCGTGTGTGTGTGTGTGTGTGTGTGTGTGTGTATATATTCCCAAATATTTGTAAATTATGCAACACTTTTCTAAATAACCCATGGGTAAAAGAAAACATAACAAAAAGAAATAGAAGACATTTTGAACTGACTGAAAATAAAAACATATCTGATCAAAATGTGACACACTGCTATAGTAGTGTTTCAAGAGAAATTTATAGCATGACTGCATAGCTACTTATATTAGAAAATACTTTTCAAATGAGGGACCTAAGTTTCCACACTAAGAATTTAAAAAAAAGAGCAACTTAAACACAAAGCAAGAAGTTAAAAAGATAACTGAATTCTGGAGTATAAATCAAGAAAACATTAAACAGAAAAATACTAGAAAAAAAATGAAACTAAAAGTTAATTATTTAAAGAGATCAATAAAATGAAAAAAATGATGTCTAAACAGATCAGTCAGAACATAATGAAATAGACACAAATTATCAATATCAGGAGTGAAACAAAGAACATTACTACAGATCCTACAGATACAGACACAGTAAGGATAATAAGGTAATATGAATAGCTTTATGTCAATAAATTAAATATCTTAGATTCAAAATCTGAACTACTAGCTGAGAAAGTAATCTTATATGAATCTCTCATTTTTAAATTTAACCATTTAACTCAGTAATTACATTTTATGTATATTCAAATATAGACAATATTTCCATTTTTCTGAAACTCAGAACCTTTTCTTGAAAATACAACTGATACCTTTAATCAAATTACATGTATTTATTCCTGATTTTATAAAATACTGCATGCTAAAATCTCTGCTGGATAAAAGCAGAATCTTTTCAACTATGATTTTCCTTGTGTATTAGCAAGAAAAACAAGTTTTGTCTTGCCTTTCCTTAAGACTTTTATAGATTCCAAAGATTTTCCTGGGGAAAAAATACAGTGGAAATAATGCTATGAAATGTGAACCTGTAAAACTACTGGATTTGTTTTCAACAAAAATTCAACTTAAACAAAAAGCATTTGCATGAACTTTATATTCATTCCAAGGACTATCTGGCATAAAATTAGAATCATAAAAATTACAAAATGTAATCTCTAATAGGAGTCACAGATCTCTTAACATGCAAGATTTAGCTAGCACAAATACAACTAACTAATAACATCTGAAGTACATTCTCCCTTAGGGCTGATGACCATCTGGTTGGCCTTGTGCTAGATCAATAAAGATGGCAAATATTTAAATCATTGTTTCTTAAATGCTATCACTCCATCAGTCCACCACAAGAAGAAAGAATGGAACTAGGATGGGAGATAGGATCTCTTATTTCACAAACCTTAAATTGAATGTGACTTTTAATTGAACTGTAAGACAAGACTTGAGAGGATTCTCCTAAATTCCCCACCAGAATTTAGGCAGAGACAGGCAGAGGACCAAACTGTACTGACGAAGATTTCAAAACAAAAGAGCCAGGAGGCAAGGTATTATGAGCGACTATAAAGATGCAAAAGACCTTTGGCCTGATGTAACTTGAAATTATTTTAATTTCCTTGAAAGCATCTTCCAACTCCTGATTTTTTTGGTTTTGAAGTAGTTATAGAAATTTTAAAACATGAAAATATATATCCACATATATCCATATGCATTTAAGTTCATATCTATATCTATATCTATATCTATATATAGATATAGATATAGATATGTCAAGACAAACCATTGTGGAAGAAATTTAGCAACCTACTCTTTATTATACTCAGATAAGTCATCATAAAATCAATGAAAAACTTTAAATAAGAAATTCAGAACAAGCATCTCAAGCAGGTACTGTCATATCTCTTAAGAAAATTACTATAACTTTATGATTAAAATTTTAATAATTGCTTTTGCCCAAGGTACTTTTCCTATATTACTTTGCCTAATACATAGTTCATTTTAAGAGATACTTTTTTTTTGGTATTTAGAAATTGTGGAATTTCATTAAGTTTATTCTCCCTGTTGATATATTCTTTAAAACAGTACCCAAATTAAGTGATATTTTATCACTGTGATTGTTTCCTACTAAGACTCTTGGGAAGCATATCAGGAATTATAAAACTTTAATATCAATAGCCTATTTTACCACACTGTAATCTACATATGCTATAAATTAGGGTAAATCTTATTCTTCAAGAATCTGTTTTGAATTTGAGAGCTTTTAAAATATTAGAGATGTAGCACGTATTTTAAAAAGCCCATCATAACTTCTGGTCACCCTATCTTTCCTACATAGTATTGAAGCTTGGTTTTAAAAGATTGTATCACTGAATTTCCTCTGTAAAAGACAAATTTTAATTGTCTCTTCAAATATAGACTTAATGCACTATCTCTGGTGACGTGCTTTTAATATTTACCTATTTTGGGTTAAGTTTAGATTTTAAAAAGTTTGGTTAATTTTGATGTAATAGAGAAGACAGGTTTAGAGATAATCTATGAGACCACTCCATCTTCCTACATACTGAGAGAAATACAGATATGAGGGGGAGAATTGTACAGCTCCACAATGCCCTTTTTTATTTGATTAGCTATTTCATAGTTGTGAACTTAGGAGAAAAAGTATAAACAAGCTGCAAGATGCTTTAATAATTAAAAAATTAAAAATGACATTACAAAGGGTCTGTTTTTGCTTTCTTCACAACTTAACTGAATAGTCATGGGTTTCAAAGGGGCCTGGCTTAGGAGCTGTGGAAGCAAACAGAAGCTCACACAGTCTGAGTTCTAAATAAGGTGACTCCAGAGCTCATGATGGCCTTAGAGAAAGCACTTGGTAACTTAAAAAAGAAAGAAAAAGACAGCCATTTGACTGATAAGTGTCAGTCATACTGCTGTTTGAAATTCAAGATAACAAGAGAGTTTCAAAGACACTCTGCTACAGGGAGGTCTTAAGAGCATACTGTTTCTCAAATGAAAATGTGCCCAATGACACTGAGGTTTTATGCAGAGAATAAAAAATATAAATAACCCTGATTGACAGGATGATCTTTCAGATCCATTTCTTTTTCCATCTGTCCAATTCATATGGATTGACTGAAATCATCCATCTGTAAGTCATCTGAACTATATATACTCATGCATACATTTGGCAAACCACTCCCTTAGAGGGCCTTACACCTTTTATTGTGAAAATTTGAAATCACACCCATTTCCCTAACCTTCTGAAGATAGCATCTGTATACAACAGCAATCAAAAGCATTTTCCCAAGTATTCTTTGAGTTACCTTTCAATTAATTAAGAGACATTGCCAACCTCAGGAACTCCTTGTGGAAGCAGAAGAAGCACCACCAAAAACATATGCTGAGTCCAGTTTCGAGGGTAAGGCCCAAAATTTAACAGGAAAACATTTTCAGTAATTAAATCTGCATACCTGTTTCCGCTGATGAAGATTAGCACATAGGGGGTGTTTCTCAACCAAACCAGGTCAATGTTAATTTAAGATCAGAGGTTTTAGGCTTTGAGTTCTTCACCATATCCCCCATGCATACACATGCAAATATAGAAGAAACTTACAAAAGGGCAGAATATACTTCAAGCATTTTTATAAACAAATGCAATAGAGGGCTTGTGTCTATTAACCAATCATTTGAAATAGCCATATCATAACATACAAAAAGCAGTCCAGTAAATAGTTTAAAAATTAATCAATACTCAATAATACTTTACTGTCTTGAATTTTTGAATATGGAGAAGAAACTGAAAATAAATAACATTTTCCCCAGAGTATTTATCAACTTTCTTACCATCAAATGTTAAATAAACTCTTGCTTGGGGCTGAGAAGATCCTTTTACACAGACAGAGAAAAGAAATACTCCAACCAACACGCAAACTGCCTGGAATGCCATTTCTTCAGATTTTCAAGTTAAGGTCCAAGGGAAAATACCTTTAGAAGACAGATAAGTTTCTTACATTTCAGATCACATTTCAGGAGCACACCCACGCCCACATACACAAAACAAGCAATCTAGACAGAGCACCCTATTCACAAAAGACATTTCTGAACTTTCACAGTCATGCAAACAGTAGGAGGTGCTGTGACTTTGCTTCTTAGATGTGAACATTTAGATTTGATTCATTTGGTCCGGACCTCATTGAAAAAGAGAAACTATTTCATCTCCCAGAAAATAATACTAATATTAAAGCAGAACAAAGCAGCCAGGAAAAAGTTATTGATTCCTAAAAGAAACTCCAATATTTAAACTTGATCTTCTCTCTAAAACTCACATTACATTTTAAATGTCTCGGGAATGGCGCCAGTTGGTATTAGTAAATGAAAACGTTTCCTTCTACCACAAATACAGTGGTAGTAGGAAAATCCCACCTGAACATTCACGTGTACCCACTCTCTTCTATACTCACTAGCTCTTTTGGAGTACTCGTCTCTGAAATGACATAAATCTACATGTGCTCAATCCTCGATCACTAAAATCACTTGAATCCGTTTTCAGCCAGTTTATACAGATGACCATGCAGCTGTTAAATGACACAGATGAGGTAACCATGGACTCGTGCCAAATTCAAACCAATGACCTAGTGGTGAGCAATCCAGTGAACCATGGATCCCTCAAATGCATATTTAAAATAAATCAACCAGAAAGTGGCTGTCAAAATTCCAAAAGATAAATCAGGGAGATAAATAGTACTGTTTGGGACTGAGGTTATAAAATTGATACATGCTATTAAGTAATGTCTGAATCCCAAGGAAGCTCAGGTAATATGTGACAACAGATATGTAAGCGCTCCAGTGGCTACAGCATGCAAAATAAACTCTGAACCATAAAAAAATAATAATAATTCCATCATTTTTAGTCCAGCATAATTATACATGCAAATGGCATGACACAGTTTAATCTAGAATTTTATTTTTATAGGTTACAATAATGCTGATCTTAATATTATGTGACTTTTAAAATTAAAATCTTATCACTAATTTTATTCAATAAAGAAATGCCTCTAAAAATGGAAAAGGTTGCTTGATGAACGCAGAAGAAAAAGAACAATTAAACTGAACATGCCATTTTAAACAAAAACTATAAGTTGATTTCCTAGGTGGTGCATACGTAATGAGAGTTGGAAACAATATCATATGTCTCTTTTACCACACAGATGGAGGAAACCTTGGAGATGTTTGTGTTGGTAATTTTCAAAAGAAACACTTTCTTCCTGCTTCCACAACCTCTTCACCCTGTCATCCCTAAATTAACTTAGAAGAAAATTGATTTTATGGGGTGACTTTCCCTTAGTAATTTGCTCCCTGGTTTTGTTGACTTTATAATAAAAGGCCAAAAAAAAGCCATAAATATACCTAACCTTTGTCTCTCTTAAGGAGGCTGATGATATTTATATATTTTTACATATTGGTATTATCAGTTATCTAGTATGTCTCTCTCCAAAAGAGACACATGCCACAGATTGCAAAAAAATAATGTTGTAGATGAAATGACAGATCAAATGAAGCGAATACATAGTGCAATGTGATTTCAAGCCCACCTAGAGAGGAGAAGTGACTCAAAGCCAAGTGTCTTACACATGGCCCCCCTCCCCATTTTATAAGTTTCCCCCTTTAACTCACTTAGACATGCTGCTTGTTGTTTTCACTTCTGATCAAAACACCAATAGCATGTAAGTGGAGGCCTCTTTTATGTTCTCTCCAGAAATTGTGTCTTAGAAGTCATTGAAATACTCAACTCTAAACTCTCCGCAGGTGTCATAACCTAAAGAAACAACTCAAGCCGGGCTCTCAGCAAGGGAAACAGATCCCTGACAAACTACATGTGCGCTTAAGAAAATATCCAGGCTTGAGCACAGCGATGTGTGAAAAGTCGACACACAGACCCAAAAGTTACATTTTGCTCAATCTGTAATGCTGAAAATAAGGAATCCAGCTTACCGAGGTGGGAAGAGATCGGTACGGAAAAAATCAATTTGCTACCGCTCTGGCTCCGCGTGTGTCTCGCGTCCTTTTCCCAGAAGACCTGATCTAGAGCGTCCCAGTGGTGCGATTCTTTCTTCCCGGTCCTCTGAGTTTCTTTGTAAAAGAATCCTCAGCGCTGCAGCGCAGTGGCACCCGGAGCCCTTCTCGGCGTCGCTCAATCAAGCACCTCGGAGTGAATGGAAAGTGGCCGGGCGTGGGGGGCGAGCGCTCGGGTGTCCGGTTACAGCGACGCGGCGCGCGGCTCTGGCTGCCCCGGCGCGCCGCCCAGCCGGCTGGCTTCAGCCGCCCTGCACACTCGGCCGCATCTCCGCCGGCCGCGAGGCCCCACCCAGAGCGCGCCCGCAGGAGGGTGGCAGGGAGCCGCGAGGGCGGGGCCGGCCCCGGGACGCGCGGCCGGGAGATGCAGGAATGCGCTGCAGCCGGCTCGGGGACCCGCGGAGCAGCTCCGCTCTGCCCGGTCCGCGGTGGAATGAGCCGCTTACGGGGTGCGCTCCAAGGTTTCTGTTTGTTACCGGCCACTCTTGGAAGGCGTACAGGCTTTGCTTGGCCGTAAACATCAAAAGTGCAAAGCAATTTTTTTATTTTTATTTTTTAGAAATATCACTGCATCCTTTTAAGGCAAAGAGAAGCGTTTTCAAAACAGCCTGAGTTCTCTTGTCCTTTCCCTGCAGCAATTTTTCTAAAACCGGTCGTCAGAAATAATCCCGTCGTAGAAGTTTATCCTTTTAATGGCTATCGTTTGCTATTGCCGTTCCTTAATGTCCCGCAGGCAGTAATTCTGTTGACCTCTTCACACGTGCTCATTTCCGGTACCTTTCCCTTCAGGATACTCCCAAAACATAATTACAAGAAATTATTTCACAATTTTGTGGAGGAAGGCTGTTCTGAATTATGACAACAGACATTGGTTTACAAATCTAGACATCAGGGGTCTATTTCTAGCACCATTTTTCAGGTACACTTGTTAAACTCTAGATCTGACTTTGATGTGTAAGTGAACATTATTTCCCGGGAACACAAAAAGAACTAGATACTGGAGAAACAGGAGCAATGAGCTTCCACTCCCAATAAAATGAGCAGGTACTTGCTTAAAAGTCACTATGGGTTACAGCCCAGCAGATGTCACTATACGGAGGGCCTATGGAGTGTAATTTTTTCCACCTTGTTTTCTTTAATTTTCTTTATGAAGAAAAGGGGATCACTAAATTCTTGTAAACTGTATCATAGAAAAATACTTATGAGAATGCAAAAATCATTGCCGTAGCGGGACAGTTGAATTAAATCTCAGGTAGGAGGAAGTGAAGAGATGATTAAGTCACGTCATACGCCTAAGTACCACCTGTTATGTGTAGTCTATATAAAAATGTCTCTAACGCTTTCTGTATCGCTGAGACATGAAAACATCAGGTCAAATAAGAATACAAATTTAAGAGTTCAAAAATTGTATTACAGGGCCAATATTATCAACTAAGTTGATGAAAGAGATTTCTAATTCAATGGGGTTAAATAATATAGCTTAGCTTTAAAATATTAATACAGTTAAACTATATTTGTGATGATTAGTGCAATAAAAATGTCAGCAATTCCTTGACAGAAGTTTGTAATAATGAATTTAAGTCACCAAACATCTGACTATTCAAAACCAGATGTAAACACGTAAGCACTACGCACATTTCTCTGAAATACTTCTGAAACTGATTAAGACCCAAGTTACATACTGACCACTGTCATCTTCCTACTGATGTCTGAGTCAGCATTAAATTAAGGAGAAAGAAATATACAACGAAGATTGCTGTGAGCATTAACGAATTTTATAATTATTAATTTAGAAATGTAGAGCCATTAGAGGCCAATTAATCTGTAAATCCATGTAAGTAGGATATGCAATATGTTTTATTTTTACGTTTCAGGGAACCAAGATAAAAAAATGTAAGGCGACATACGTGTCAAATTGTGTATTTACAAGGAAATTTACTGAATTTACAAAAGCCCAAAGAATTAGCTCAATCTGCCATGCATCCTCACTAGGCTTTTGAGACTATGACAAATAGCTTAAATTTAATCAGTCTATGAAACTTGGGCGGCAGTTCCCTCTCTCTTCTTGCCTGAATAAACTTCTTTTCACTGTAATTAATTGAATGGTGTCTGCTAAGTACTGAGACATTTAATGGTATTTGCTTAGTAGTGAGACATTCGCTGTAGGCCATGCCTCAAAATGAGTCATGAAAATATTGACAGACATTAGCTAAGGCAGATTCAAGCACAAGGACACAATTAATGCTCAAGGTTGCCTGAAACCTGGGCCATATAGTGAAATTTTAAGATTGGCAGTAGGTGCTCCTGATAAGATTTATCTCTGCCCCCATTTCTCCAAACTGCTTAGGAGCCTAAAACACCTTAGCAATTCAGGACTTATGTAAGAGACATTGGTGGCCAGTGCCACTTTTCTATGATGCAGTTTTTGATTCTGTCCTTACAGGTGGGACACGATATTAGTTCAGATAAGCTAGTTAAGGAGGGGGACACTAAATGAATCTATAGGACTAATGACGATTACAATGTAGAGACCACTAATTATAAAGTTTGCCCTCATCAAAATGTCTTGGGGAAAACATCTAAGTTAAAAATACTTAGAATCGTTGTCATTAAGATGTTAATAATTTGGTACAATATCTTTACACTGACGTTTCTCTGGATTGCCCTTATTTTTAATTTTTGATATTTTTGGTGACCCTGAAAAAAACCATTTAAGTTCAACTCAGCCTGATTTTGAGTGATGTCCCCAGCTTTTCTTTATGAGGTGTACAGTTAAGAATGATCTTATTTAAAATTTAAAGAAAATATATTGTTTTCAGATTTTTCTCCATCGTACAGATGAGCTATATGAATGAATAAACTTTAACTAGAGAAACTCAGTCCTGCAGAGATTGAAAATTGTCTTATTAGTCATAACTAATATTTGTCATAGAACACAGACCATATATATTCCAGGCACTTTGTATGTTATATGAATAGCATTTTTAATGAGGTTGCCATTTGACAAATGAGAACTTAGAAGGTTTACCCAAAGTCACATGGGTAGTAAATATTGAAATAGAAACAGAAACTCAGGCATGACTCAAGCGCTGCCTTGTATTTTTCAACACGAATCAGAGAAATTGTTACACTGTTTCCTCTCCTCTCCTTTTCCCTTCATCTCTCCTCTCTCCTGTCTTCCTCCTTTTCTCAACTTCCATATGCCAGCCCTTTCAATTTCCTGAGCTGTGTCTTTAGAAAGTCTGTACTTCAAATGGTTATTTAATTTGTTTACATGAGTCTTATTTCTCCTTAGGTTGCCCTAGCTGCTCTGAGACGAAGCCGGTCAAACAGGTCTGGTCTGGAAATCTGTGTGTGGAATTGCTTTACTATTTCCTCCGTTAAAATCCTTATTTTTCAATAAGATGAGTGTATCTCTAGTTTCATTTTTAACCCATTGCTAATCTATAACCCTGAGTCTCTGCCTGTTTCTCTGTTGATATGTACTAAACTCTAGGATTCTCAAATTGCAGGATCCCTCGCATTAAACAAAATAAACAGGTGACAGTGATTTGCTTTGGAGAGGGAAACTGGCCAGAAAGAGAATATTCATTGTTTGCCTCTTTTTCCCTTAGTAATTTTAAGGTAAGTGAATGTGTAAGCTTTTACAAAAGTCAAAGTTTAATTCTTCAACATTTCTTTAAATACCTTTAAACATCTCACACACAATACCATATTTCCCAATTCAACCAAAATAAGAGTATGTCGCTTCTAATGTTTATACATTACAGTATTTCAAATGTAAAAGTGGAATAGTAAGGAGTTTTGGTAGTAAGCGCCTGTTAGTAATTTTACTCCTCTAATATGTACACGTGACAAAATTGAAAAAGAGTGTTGTGATCATTCACACTGTCATCACGGGTAAAATGTAAACTCTGTAATTGTTTTATCCTTATTAGCATATTTCATGCAAAACCTCAATGAGGGAAATATATGTCTTTGAAATTAACTATATACTTCTGCAGTTATAAAGTAACCAACAGTTATTTAATTAATGCTTGTTAATTGAATATATACATACACACCCACAGTAATACTAGCTGCTTTTCTGGATCTATTGTGTCGAAAGGTTTCTTTCTTTTCACCTGGGAGTACAAAACCGTTTCCTGTGTCTATTCTCCTAGGAGAGCCCTGAGAGGCCCATGTAAGTGCCTCTGATTGTCAGATATGTGTAATGAAGCTCAAAAATAATAACCAGCTGGAGCAATGAATTCAGGACTGTTAGTAATGGTTAATTAACTCCCCTCTAAGCCCCTCGACATGGCCAAAGGCCTTTTCCAAGTAATCTTCAGATTTTACTGTTTTTCTACTCTTCATGGACTTTAAATGGCTGACTAGAAAGTAGGGTACTATTAAATTGTGTAAGCAACTTTCACATCATAGCAAAGGCATTCTCATTATGAAAATCACATGACAAATTTAGTCCTCTTCTGTACCAGTGATTTTCAGGAGAGGGCTGCTTAGTGAATTTGAAAAGGATCAACAACTTTTATTTATTTTTATACTACTTATTTCATGATACTTAATGCTTTGAAATTTCGAGTGACATTTGATAATTTTAAAGAAGGATTCACAATTTTCAATTTTTTAACAAACATGACATAAGTTAAAATATGCAACTCTCAGGGTACATTTCAATAAAATATTTTTCCTTGATGAATTTTGTCCATTGCAATGGACTCATTGAACTTTAGACCAGAAGTGTACAGGAAGGGAGTCTGATTTAAAGAGCATGAGTCATTTAATAGATATTTTACAAAGAGTACTTCTTTTACTCCTCATAACAGCTTTAAAAAGAATCTATGAGTATCTTCATTATGCAAACAAGGAAGCCAATTCAGAAATCTGCGGCACCTCCCCATTCCTGGGTCCTGTCCCTAGGCAATGAATTCAGGTCTTCCTGATCCCCAGTCAACACACTCCCGGTTTCCCACTACCCTTGGTACCTTTATCTAACAGTCCAGTAAGTAGGAAAGGGGAGTGGAGACCTTTACCTTTCCTCCTAAGCTGTTTAAGTCCTGAAGAAGGTTTTCTGTAATCGTTGGATAGCTAACACTTCATTTCACAGATGTGAATTATAAATGCAGACATCTTATCTTCATCATGAAATTACAGACAACTTGAGAGCAGAATTAGCAGAATCTCCTTTGTATCTTTTAGAATAGCTAGAACTAAGATGTTTAACAGCCTTGACCTATATATAGATGGAGAAGGATTTCAGGGAATGTGAGTGGAAAAG